CATAATGAAGAAACTACCGGCCGATGTTGTTTTGGGGAATGACTTGGGCCCGATGACTTCTGCGTTTCTTCCCCAGGCCCCTTCCCAAGAGGCGCATCCGGTAACCACCCGGCAACAGGCTCGCACCACGGCATTCCCCGCACACTCTGAGGCTCAGGTAAGACACCATGACCCCCCCTTGACCGACATGACTTGGGACACCCCGACCACATTTGAAGCTGAGGTTCAGACAGACCCCACACTGCAGGTGTACCGAGATAGGGTAGACACGGACCAGGTGGGGCGGGAGGGAGAACGGTACGTATGGGAAAAGAAGTTACTGTACCGGGTGGCGGAACGGGCCATAGGCAGCTCTGTGACGCTCCAAACCAAGCAGCTAGTAGTACCCCAGAAATATAGGCAGGAGTTACTAAGAATCGCCCACGACATCCCTCTGTCCGGCCATCTAGGGATGACCCGGACCCGATATCGCTTAACGCACGCATTCTTTTGGCCCGGGATTTCCAAAGACGTAAGGCAATATTGTACCTCCTGTGATGTGTGCCAGAGGGTAGGCAAAAGGGGGGATCGCCATAAGGCAAAACTATGTCCCCTCCCCATAATTGAGGAACCGTTCAGCCGGGTAGCAGTAGATATAGTAGGACCACTACCAAAGCCCAGCCCCTCTGGGAAACGGTATATCCTGACCGTGGTGGACTACGCCACCCGGTACCCCGAGGCGATTGCCCTAACTAATATCCACGCGGAGACCGTAGCCGAAGCCTTGATGAAAATCTTCTCCCGAGTAGGGTTCCCACAGGAAATGGTCTCAGATAGGGGGACCCAATTCACGGCTGAGGTTACTCAGCAGTTATGGAGGATATGTGGCATAAAGCCGATCATTAACTCCGCGTACCACCCGCAATCCAATGGATTATGTGAGAGATTCAACGGTACCCTAAAACAGATGCTTCGAACATTCGGAGAGACCCATAAGGACTGGGAACGATTCCTTCCCCATCTGTTGTTCGCATACAGAGAGGTGCCCCAAGAGTCTACGGGTTTTTCCCCCTTTGAACTATTGTTTGGGAGAAGGGTCCGGGGGCCGTTGGATCTCATTAGGGAGCATTGGGAGGGAGAGAGTAGTGCAGATGGGACCCCTATTGTACCATACGTGCTGGCGTTCCGGGATCGCCTGGAGGAATTGACCCAGGCGGTGCGCACCAACCTCCAGGCCGCCCAACAACGACAGCGTCGTTGGTATGACAGAGGGGCCAGAGACCGTAGTTTTCAAGTGGGGCAGAAGGTGCTAATCCTTAAACCAGTCCGCACCGATAAACTACAGGCCGTCTGGCAGGGCCCATACCAGGTGGTAGAGCAGAGATGCGATACCACCTATGTGATCGGCCCATGCTCCGGAGTAGGGAAGAGACGCATGCTCCATGTGAACATGCTCAAACCCTACCACGAGCGGACGGAGGACTGGCAGCTATTTGCACGCCCGCCTCCGAAGATCAGGAGAACCTGCCCCTTCCCGATCTGTTAGAGCAGGAGGAGCAGAAGGAACCCTCCCAGGGGGTTCAACTGGGGGAGCGGCTAAGTCCTCAAGAGCGTATTCAGGTACGAGAACTGATAGCAGCAAAGAGCGCTACCTTTTCTAATCTACCTGGGTACACTCCACTAGCCACCCACCGAGTAGAAACCCCGGGACAGCTTCCCATGCGACAGACTCCATATCGGATTCCTGAATCCGTGCGGGAACATATGAGGAAGGAAATCGAAGAGATGTTGCAGTTGGGGGTTATTGAACACTCAGATAGCCCCTGGGCATCGCCGGTAGTCCTGGTTCCCAAGAAAGATGGTACCACCCGGTTCTGTGTGGACTACCGGAGGTTGAACGACAAAACTGTGTCGGACGCCTACCCGATGCCTCGGATAGACGAACTGCTTGATAGGATGGCCAGGGGTCAGTATCTCACTACCATAGATTTGTGTAAGGGATACTGGCAAATTCCACTAGCCGAGGACGCCATTCCTAAGTTGGCGTTTGTCACCCCGTTTGGCTTGTACCAATTTCGAGTCATGCCATTCGGGATGAAGAACGCCCCCGCGACATTCCAGCGGATGGTGGATCGGCTACTGGACGGGTTCCAGGACTATGCGTGTGCATATCTGGACGATATTGCCATCTACAGTCAGACCTGGGCAGAACACCTACAACACATAGGGGCAGTAATAGATCGGATTCGAGAGGCAGGGCTTACCTTGAAACCCAGCAAATGCCACATAGGGATGGCAGAGGTCCAGTACTTAGGACACCGGGTTGGTAGCGGGCAGCAGAAGCCTGAGCCCGCAAAGATTGAAGCTGTAGCCCAGTGGCCTACCCCTAGGACCAAAACCCAAGTCCTGGCTTTCCTAGGTACCGCAGGGTATTACAGAAAATTTGTACCCAACTACAGTGCCCTGGCCAAACCCCTGACTGATTTGACGAAGAAAAACCTGCCCCGGCAGGTCGTCTGGGCCCCAGAGTGTGAACAGGCATTCAACCAGCTGAAGACGGCTCTGACCAATGCCCCTGTACTGGCTGCTCCTGATCCAACTAAACGTTTTCTTGTTCACACAGACGCCTCAATGTTTGGATTGGGAGCAGTACTGAGCCAGGTCGGAGCCGATGGCGGAGAACACCCCGTAGCCTACTTGAGTCGGAAGCTGCTACCCCGAGAAGTGAGCTACGCCGCCATAGAGAAGGAATGCCTGGCCGTGGTGTGGGCCCTGAAAAAGTTACAGCCGTATCTCTATGGGCAACCCTTTTCTTTGCTCACAGATCACAACCCGCTGGTGTGGCTAAACCGTGTGGCGGGAGACAATGCCAGGCTGCTGCGCTGGAGTTTGGCGCTGCAGCCCTTTGACTTTACAATACACTACCGCCCAGGGAAACAAAACGGTAATGCCGACGGGTTGTCCAGACAAACAGACCTTGAGAAATGATCTGTGAGCACTCCCCCGGACATCCCCAAGCCGATCCGTTGGGATCAGGCTGTGTATGCCGGCTTGGTTCTGGGGGAGCATTGTGGCAAACCTAGCCACTTGGACAATAACCAGAGACTGTGCCTTTAAGGGTTGCCACTAGGTCGGGCGAGATATGCGCTGTACACATATGTAGATGTTAAGGTATTTTCCGTGTTGCCTGTAATGCTGTTTCCGCCGAATGCAAATGGCGGTTTTGTATGGGGATTTTCTTTCGTTTCACGAACGGCACTTTAGAAAGCCGTTCGTGAACCGAACGCGATACCCCCTAATAGCCCACACACTTAGAGGCGTGTGGCGCTAGTTAACCGATTGCAACATTGTTGCAATCGGTTATTAGAGGCTCTCCTGGGTGGCCGTCGTTCGACTACCGACCATGCGGCGGTCGGCCATCTTGGAACCCTTGTTCGTCAGCGGGGCCGTGTCGTCGAACGCATACTACTACCAATAGTTATTCGACGGCACGAACACCGCTGAGCCTCCCAGACGTTCGGGAGTTTCAGGACCAGGTTCACCCAAAGCAATCGGTTCCTTTTGTGGGTTTTGTAAGAAATGTGTTTTCTGTGCGGCGTTCGGTTAATTTGGCTGGGATCTGAGCGGCAATCTCACGAATGATGCGCCCAGACCCCAGCTACCGTGTTTCCCCGAAAATACACCCTACCCCGAAAATAAGCCCTAGCTGAATTTTCGGGGTGGGCTGCAATATAAGCCCTACCCCGAAAATAAGACCTAGGCATTGTACCTTTCGGCCCGGCGGAACTTCCTTCTTCTATGAGGAGGAGGAGGAGCGTTGCAGGCCGCGGCATCGCGCAACGTGATGACGACGTGCGCAGCGTCGTCAGTCTGCCTTCACGGATCTTCAGCGGAAGGATCCATTTCCGGGCGGTGAGGCACCCAGTGGTCGGACTCGGCGGGCAAGGAAGGCATCTTTGAAATGTGAGTAGATATTTTATGTCTGGGACTGAATTAATTAAAGGGGGCGATGAATTAATTAAAGGAGGCGGTGAATTAATTAAAGGGGGGGCTGGATTAATTAAAGGGGGGTGGATTAATTAGAGGGGTGGATTAATTAGAGGGGGTGGATTTATTAAAGGTGGGTGGATTAATTAAAGGGGGGGTTCAATGTACATACCGGTACCATAAATAAATAAGCCCTACCCTGAAAATAAGCCCTAGTGTGTTTTTTGGGACTAAAATTAATATAAGACCCGGTCTTATTTTCGGAGAAACACGGTATCTACCGAACGTCCATTCGTGTAAATCCACCGTGTATTTTAAAAGTTATGTATTTTTATATGAATTGCCGGTTCTGCTGCACGAGGGGATAACCCCCTTAACGGTGCATTCTGGGAGGATGATCCCTCTCGTGCAGCAGTGCCTGATGGGAGAAATATGTTATACTGTAAGTCCCCCATGTAGTCCCCTCTGGGAGTGCCCCTGGGAAGGGACTCAGGAAACCCCTTGCATGGGGACTTGTATAAATTGTCGTGCCGATTAAAGGATTGTCAGTTGACTCCCAAAACTGTGTCTCGTCCGGTTATTGGGAGGTTGGGGATATTGCCTTGGTGTTTTCAGCGCTTGACTGTGGATTCGTTCTGGACCAGCGGAATTCGTGGATTTTATATTGGCGTTCCGCTACAGCGTGAATACCTGAAATGGGATTGAGACAAGGCTTCAGCTGCTATGTTGTGACAGGCTGGTATGTGTATGCAGACAAGGTAAAATTGCTGTGTTGCTGCCAGTCAAGTAACTTTGCATACTGCTGTGTTTGAGTAGTAATTGGCAGACTTCCTTTCCCAAAGAGTCCCCCAGGCATGTGCAGTGGCAGCGATGGAGTATACTACAACAAGAGCTGAAGGTTACTAAAAGAGTAGGCTTCATATCTCTAT